TTCGCCTTTTTAGTAAACCACAAGTGTTGAGGGGCGTCGGAACGTGCCAATCACAAAGTGGGGGGAGCAGCACCGGGGAGAGCGTGGAAATGTCTGGGAAAATGACAATTGTGTTGTATGCCAACAGTAGTGAGTAATCCCTCAGGAGACTGGTCTTAGCTCTGACAGAATATTATCCTCCTCCCTTGAGGAGTGCACTCTACAGTCAGCAGCTATGGCTGTCTGGATACTATACTACATTGAAGCTACACACTACTCACCTAAACATTAGTGCACATAACTATTGTATGCAGTTTATCAGCACCCTTCCTACATGCACCTTCACATAGTATTCTGAACAAGGTGGTTACTATTTATAGGCTCCTCCTTTCTTACAACTACATATATATTATCTGGTGTTCCCCTGGGAAGCTTTCTACCTCTGCAGGTCTTTAAAGGCTGTGACCTTCTGTCTAAGGGGCATCAACCATAGCTGACCTGTGAGATCACTGTACTCAGCTTATCAGGGGCCTTAGCAGGTGGGGCTCTGAAGTGTTTTCCCCAGCCCTTATCACCATGCTGACTTTACACATCCTGTGCCCTTATCACCACTGCTGACATAGCTATTGTAAAACCCTATCCTAGCCTTCTATACTATAATTTGGGTTGCATTCCTCACTCTTTTATTGGTGCATACCATCTTTATGTTCTAAGGTGCTGTGCACTTGTCAGACCTGGACCCTACAAGCTTCTACTACACATCCACTACGCTCTTTGGCCTCCACCTTTGACTTCAGCTGGGTAGACCTCTTCAAAAGAGTGAACTCCTTGCACAACAAATCACATTCATTATAATTATGTTGATGTCTCACTTGCGCATGCGCCCGCTACGCGCGAGAGGCGCGCGCAAGTGCGCAACGTCACCCGGCCGCCGGTCTCGGTAGCGAGCGGGGGGAGCCCGCGCGCCGTGCGTACAGTGCAAAGTGTGTGCGCCGCAGCAGCCCCTCCCCCTCGCTCTGCAGCCCGAAAAGGGTGGGGCTGAGTATGCGCAAAAAATAACTGGAACAAGTGGAAAAATCATTTCTTCAAAATGAAGGGGGATGTAGGGATGGTGTAAATTATGAAAAAGGATGCCAACAAGAAGATGCTTCAGCCGACAACAAAAATCGTACATCCATCCCTACATCTTTCTTTACAGTCACAACCTCTACTGTGATAATTATGTTGTGAATAATGTATCTTACATACTCTATGACAAGTAACCACACATTTTTTATACAGAGCAAAAGAAAGAAAGATGTAGGGATGGATGTACGATTTTTGTTGTCGGCTGAAGCATCTTCTTGTTGGCATCCTTTTTCATAATTTACACCATCCCTACATCCCCCTTCATTTTGAAGAAATGATTTTTCCACTTGTAACATTAACAGCCAGTCTTGCCTAACTTTTAGGGAAAGTCGACTATTGGCGATTTTTTAATCAACTTTTATACATATTGATGAGGGTTCCCAGGTACATGTGGGTAGAGTTATGATAGGCCATGTATATACATACGTGTATATGTAAGCACACATACGGTGGTGCTGTACAAACGGAGATATAGAGTTGTGTAGCGACAGTGTGTACTCACTATAGTACCTACAGTAGTATGTTAGTTGGTTTGCAAGAGGGAGAAGAGAACGCATGACGAGGGTCTCTCCATATTCGGTTCACACATTGTGATTGCATTCTTGGCTCTCACACAATGGGGTTGTTAGCCCACGGCCAGCTGCTAACAACTCAGTATAAAACTTTGCCATTTACTCCCAAACAACAGGAACTAACTCGTGTCAATAAATTTGGAAAGGACGTTGCCATGAAGTCTTTAAGTGTGTTGTTACTGGCCTCAGCATTTCTACTGACTTCTCATCTTTATGGTAACAATGCACGTCTAATATTTAGATTGCTTGTTAGCTACAATTCAGCAACACTTTGTTACAGTAATGTTTTGGTAATAGGTGTTGAAGGATTAATGGTCAATGTTGTAGTACCTCAAGGAACAGAGTCAGTCAATGGATCTAGTGTGGCAATGGGATGTACTAGTCCACTAGTAGACAGTGGTGGTGTGATGGTGTGTGAGTCACTAAGCTATCTGATTGATGGTTGCTCTCCTGATATTGACACAAGTACCTCGGACTGGGCATCTCAGCTAGTGACAGTGAGGAGCAGTGAGGGAACTTCTGATCTCCCTTTCCCTCATGTTCTGCTGACATTTGGCTTTGACACAGCTGTGTCTCTGACTGGAATTGAGATGGACTTGTTCAACTGTCCTGACTGGAACATTGGTATTCCCCCTATCACAGTGTATCTCGATCCAGATTACAACTTAGCAGCTACCACCAACATATTATTTAGCCTTCCATTTGCGTCTGCTGGTGACAATTCCCTCCAGTCATCTTGTGATTCCCTTTCAACTGTTACCATTTCCGGAGGCTCATTCGATGGATCCTATCACACAGTCTATATTCTAGTGGACCTATCTTTCTCATCCATACAGTGGGTTCATGTGGGAGAGGTCAGGTTCATTGGTGAACAACTTCCAGGTAGGTGCTCTCATTGAGTAGCAATCACTGTGTTACTAGGATTATGATGACCATTATACAGAATGCCAAGTGTTTACCACTACAACTGTTGCCCATCATCAACCTCAGTTATTGCGGAAACAACTAGTATCCCTACTACCTCTCTCCCCAGTCCTACCTCTGTCTACACCACCATCTCCACACCGACTATCTCATCCATTGACATAATAAGAAAGACCTCTAGCCTGACACTCGATCTGTCATCTTCTACAGCCTCGCTCCTTCCCTCACCTACTGTCTCTCTTTCCACTGAAACTGCTTTTCCCGTCACCACTTCTGCCATGCCATCTCCTGCTATAGCTTTCACCAACAGCTCAATAATAGAACTTGCCCCTTCTCGGAGTCTCTCTAGGCCTACAATCCCACCAAGTGTGGCCTCCACAGCAAAGAGTACACCTGCCTCTAAAGGAGTTGCTGCCACCCATTATATCCCTACACTCTCATCCGCAACAGCAAAAGAGACAATAATAGCGTCAATTCCTTCCCCCAGACAATCAAAGACTGCTGTTGGAGTTTATCTCCCCACATCCACAAGTCTCGTTGCTTCAACCTCAATGCCTGTGCCGCCTCCTGGGAAGGATCAGGACATAGTACTGTCTTTAGCCACTGCGTCGGTCATTTTGTCGCTGCTGATTATCACACTGATAATCACCTTAGTTGTTTTAGTGCTCTACAAGAAGGGCCTCAAGAGAGACTCGTACAATGGCGATTCTTACATAGCGATTGGACCCCTTGCCCCAGCTCTCATAGATGTCCCTGAAGAAGAAGAAGAGTTAGGGGTGCACAAGGTTACTGTGCCAACGGACCGTGAAAACGGTAACATTTACGAAGTTGCGAAATGACTTGCAAAACTTCAGGTATACTTTCTTTGATTCACAGACGCATGCTTGTATTTTCGATGTAGCTAATATTATATGGCGTGATATTTGTGTTTTTTAGCAACTGACATCGTTATGATATCAAACAAACAATTTGAGCTGTGTGGATAGCTGACAGACGTTTACTACTAAACACACAGCACCAATAAAGTGTACTATAAGGACACAGTCAACACTATGCCAAAAGTAGAGCACCAATAAGAGTGTGTATCATAGAAATGGCCATTTAAAACCTTTCCAGGGACATTTCCTAAGGCTCTCCCACGATGGTTGACCTAGCAACTCAAAAACCATTAATTAAGTGTTTTGGTACAGTTTGCCAAGGAAATGACGGAGAAAAGTATCCACTGCCAAAAATGTGAATGATACCACAGACTCCTAAGATAAAATACTATACCAGCTATAGACAGGCAGCTATAAAGCTGTGGTGGGACTTACAAGTTGACTTGATAGTGCAGTGTTGTTCATGCTCATCTGTTCTACCGTTCTTTGTAGATAGGTCGTTCTTTGTTGATAGCTAGGTTCAGTATGAAGGTCCAAATGACAACCATGATTATCTGGTGCTCTCTGCTGAAGGTACATGGACAAGGTAAGTCAGCAAGCTACCTGAACTGTCGATAGGTCAATAGCAGGTCTGTATAATAATCGCATATAATCTCGATGCACATCATACTATAAGCTCCACAGCAGGCATAGAAATTTTGTAGCAATTCTGGTATACATTTAGACATTGGATAGAGTAATGAATAGTGAGACTAAGGTGTGCATGTTTGTGAGACTACAGTGTGTCTGACAAATGATGCATATGGATGTGTAATACTTTACAGACCTGCAAGAGTCATCGATCAAATTGAAAATCTCGCAAAGCCCTCCTGACATCTCGACAAGAGTGCCAGTGGGACAATCAACTACCATTGTCATAGCCAGCCCCACGTTTACCATTAGTCCAAGTCTGAGCCGACCTCGTCCAGGGAGTGCTGCCAAATTTCCTACTTCCCAACTTCTACCACAGCCAACTACCACACTCGCATCGGTCGAGCTACAACCCACATCTGAGTGCAAGGAAACGGAGTGCATATGTCAACTGCGGCTTGACCAACTGACTCTGAACACTCTGCTAGAGGACCTACAGCTCCTCATACTTCTGATAGTGTTTGTTTTCCTCTGCATCCTTCTGTGTTGCTTCACGACCGCCTGCTGCGTCCAGTGCTGCGTGATACGACGGAGGCGTAAGACCTCCAGGAGCAAAGACTCTCCAGCCCCAGTGACGAACTCTGCGAAGACTCTGTCAGACGAAAACATATACTGTGATATTGCCGCAGCTCCCCCCACAGGGCGGCACCGTGCGAGACACGCCACAAGTAGAAAAATTAGCACGGGGTCCCTGCACGAACTGGCAGTGCACACAGATGGTCCGCAGTACTGCAACACTGGGGCATACCGGCAAAATACGTCGTACCCATCCAACACCTTTTGAACACAGACCTCTCTATTATTATGCATTATGAGATTTTGTGCAGGCTCTAAGAGCGCAGATCCGGGCGCAAATTTAGTGTGTATTTAAAAGACGATTACGATAACATGATGATGATGATGATGATGACAGTGGTTTATACAATGCATTGAAAATAATATTATTAGAATGCAGCAAAGTCTCTGAGTATCAGATACACGTATACCACATGCACACACGCACACACAAAGTGAGAGAGAGAGAAGAGTCACCTAAGAATTGGTACTGTGGCTACTGTACGAGGGAATGATCTGAAAATGGAGGCCTCCTTTGCCCCCTGTGACGCTGATTGGTCCAGGCCCCAAACCACACCCACTTCCAGTTCTCCGAACACCCGAGGTGTTGCTGACCTGGAGATCCTCGTGGACGTCGCTGTCTGGAGACGAACATACCGAGCTCTCCAGGCTCACGTGACTGCTGTATTCACTCGTGCTCGAAACGCTCGCAGCATCTGCGTCCGCCTCGCCACTCCTGTAAAACTTTCTCCCCCCGGTCGTAGCGGCTTTTCTTCTGCCACTTCCGCTCCTACCATCTCTACCGACGCCCCCTCCGTGGCTGTGGAGGGCAGTAAAACTCCCGGATCGGACCCCATGATTCGAGATGTTGTCCCCCTCGCTCAACACAGGGTAGACGTGATCCAACGAAGAACTGTCCAAATCGTCCCTACTCCTTGTAAATACCTCGTCCGTACTAACAATAGAAGCGTTCGAATCCCTCCTACCGATCAAGTTCTCTGAGGATATCTTGTAGACGTAGACGACCTGCTGGAGGTCTGGTTCGGAGGAGCGCCCAGAGCTGAGGAACCCTCGCTTGTCGGCGTTCCTGGGGACCTTGGTCTCTGTGGGGGCAATAACGAGTCGACTGTCCCCTTTGTAGTTGTGGATGAGACTGGAGGAGGTGAAGTAGATGTCGCCCTATGAGAAACGAAACCAGTATGATATCATGCTGTATGTGCCATAAAGGGGATGTTGGTTCAACAGAGGCGATGTAATTTCATATGCAACTGCCCTTTTCCTATAATTTCCTTGTGCGAACTACCACAGAAAGCTGCAAAGAACATGGGGAAAAACACTGTTTTGCCATCCGGTGCAACCAGGCAGCCTTTGCCCTCACATGTTGAGCACTGTCACCATGCACTGACGCCTTATAGCAGAAAGAGAACTTTTCATAGTCAGCAGATTGCCTAACGCTAATGTTAAGTAAGGTCTGTCTACATACAATCGTAGAATAGTGCAGAGAAATCTTTCAGACGTGACTCTCACACTATGATTCCTCCTGCTAAAGTCTTCACCTATTACGAAATGTAACAGTCACTCTGGTCTTCAGAATGCAACTCGGTAATGTGGTTTAGGTTGCGTATGTTTAATTTATGCACCATACCACACCCTTCTATGACAAATGGTCATTTAAGTGCTGAAAGACAATATTGCAGATTTGAATTGGCAGAATCTGCCTGACACTAACATTATTGCCTCGCCCCTGTAATATACAGCTAGTTACACTCACTTTGCTGGAGATGACGTGAAGGTCAGGTATGTTGATGGTCTGTATGAGCGAGCCGTTGGAGGCCATTCTGATCTCCAGAATGTTAGCCATAAACCCCATTACATATGGTGTCATACACACTGCAATACACACATACCACATAATTATATATATACACCACAATAACATAAGATGAAACGAAATGCTGCAGCCATGAAGCCTATTATTACGTTTTTAACAAACAGTATGTGTTTTTCACCTAAGACACAGTTTGAACACAATGTACAACTTTGCATTAGGAAGAGTAGTGGGTGAGTGCGTATATCCTGTACCGATATCTTTTGGCTCAGAATTCCACACAACCTCTGCAGAGTTGTAGGCAGTACCGTCATGCAGTGTGATCAGCTGGCTGGTCACTAGACAACACACAAACACAGCGATGGAAAGTATATCACTATAACACTATGAACGAAAGACCAATAACTGTGATGTGAATAATTAAGGGAGAGTGGAGTATAATGGCTAAATTAAAACTAATTTCATTCTTGCACTGGGCCTGTTGTTTAGTTCTCCCAGGAGCGTATGAGCCACCTGACACTATACCTTTCTATTTGTCGCCCTTATGTACATATACACTGCCGTAAACATACAGAGCACCACCAAATACGGAGAGGAAACACGCATACAGTCTTCTGTGCAGTGTGACGAATGGTGTACAACTCACAGTTGTATCCAATGAGTAGCTCACTGTGTCCATTGCAGTATACACTCGATAGGCAAATCAACTTCGCCTACAACAATACAAATAGAGGTCCAATGAACTAGATAGCCATTACCATGTAAGACCTGTAGAGTTTGTAAAAAATATAGCCACAGAATAGAACGAAGAGTTTTTAGCAACAAAGTAAAACGCATTAATTACCTACAAATATAGACCTATGTGCCGATACCCATTAAATGCATGTGGTAGGGCTACATAAAAAGTTACCAAAACAGAAACATAATCCCATTCTTGGACTGGGCCCTTTAGTAACACATCAGAATTTACCCCTTATGTACTGACACGTTCCCTTTAACTATTCACAACCTAATCCTCATAGCTTCAGAAATTAAATCCGTGAATGACTGACTTTAGCTATGTCTAGGTTCGGGATCCTCTGAGTAGTGGCCTTGATCTCGTCCACTGCGTCCACCACTGCCTGTTTCTGGTAGCTGACACACAGCTTCCCCGATGGCCGCTCGTCCAGTAGAGTCATCATCAATGGCACATCTGGGAGACTCAACTCCTGGTATGATGTACAAAATGTATTGCTATTAAGGTCAATTAGTATGAGCGGCACGAAAATTACAAAATCGTACAAACACACGTCTCTATTATGTTTACACAATTATAATGCATGATGAATGAAGAAATAGAACACAAAATGACTATTGTGTATATACCCATAAATGTCTCCATTATATGCACCCAAATTTTAATGCCATGTGAATCTGTATTAATTGTGTCAAAACCATTTTTGTATCCTAAATCCATAGACAACCATACTACACATCGACTATATTGTCACAAATAACAGGGTCTCACTCTGTGTTTGATGAAGCTCTCGGTGGGATTGGTGGGAGCCTGGGGCGCGAGGGGGACTCCGCCCGTGGAACTGCTGAGCGACGGATGTTTCCATGCCAACATCAAAACCTTTGCCTTGCAGGCCACGGCGACGCGAAGAAACTGTCCGCTGAGTGGAGCAGTGCAGAACAGGTGGCATCCCTTGGTGCAGCTGATCTGGTAGGCCCCCAGAGAAGACTTGCTGTCCAGCACAATCTTCTCCGAGTAGAAATGTCGGAGTGGAATGGCGTAGAAGTAGTTGGTGTCTTTTGCGTAGGCTGAAGACACACAACATGTATATACCACATTATTGGCGAGTGAACATGAGTGCAAAAATTAAAGCAGTTGTTAATGCACGCCGCACAAAGAAACAAGTAATTCTAACTAGTAGGTGCATAGGCTCCCACATGTATACAGGTACTATAATATAATACACAAAATCATGTATTATGCAAGACATTATATTGCAAGCGAACATGGGTGCAAATTTCAGCATGTTTACAATTTGTTAAGCAAAGTACATAGTAAAATCGGCAATTCAAACCACTAGGCCACATACAGTATCAGAAAATACAAGCGCAAGCACTGGATCGGATAGCTTTCTTCACAGGTACACAGAAGTACGTATGCAACAGAATAACCACAGCCACGGGCTGTACACGAATGTTGAGACACTACACGGATCTGATCTTAGTCAGGATGCATCAATTACGCCTACCCGGCATTCTCAGTAAGTCAGGAAATTAGCAGTGTCTCTACATGGACCTGTACTAGCTTTGTAGACACTGCATCATGTAGTACTACTTTATCGTGTACATAATACATACCACGTTATATATACGTACATGTACTACGTCAGTGGGTACCTCTCACCCACCAACTACACGTGTACTCTGACCTTACGCACATGTGACACGTAAACATGTTCATTTTAATAAATGCAACACGTTTTGGTTACTAATAATGCCAATAAACAAGCAAGCAACACACATTTGTCAGTATGCATGTGCATTGATATATACAATAGAAATTTGCTCAATCCACATGACTATAGCTGAGCTCATGTCGCTAGTCAAAATACCTGTTCTAAATAGAAGGAGGTGATGCTTATGTGCCACCACCACTTGTCCAACGACCACCGACCTGTTCAGCATGAGTGCGTAGCTGCCGTCTATGGGAATAATAGAGAAGCTGAATGCCTTCCGATGAAAGATATACAGCTCCCTACGTGGCCATATAATAGCATGCTCCTTTATAAGTACAAACCTTGGTAGATGAAAAACGTTCCGTTGGATTCAGTACTGACAATCAATGTGCCGTCATCTGGAGGAACACACGCATAGCTGTCAGTGTTAGTGACTTAAACAATTACCATAGCCGTGTGTTATTAAAGCGACTACGTTAAAACTCTTGAAAGGCTCACCGCAGTAGTCTCCACACACTATCTTGAAAGGAAAGTCTTCACTGATTGACGTTGGCTCCCATGGCTGTGGTAAACAATGAAGAAGAAGCAGAGGTATCTATGAATGTACACCCACGAAAAATCAACTAATGCAAGCTAAAGATGAAGGATGAAGACAAGGAAGATACTGTTAGGCTCCTAGAGTACAAGACACTCTTTGCTGCTTTTACAGCAACATTGAGCCTGCTTTAGGTAGCTGTCCACAAGCTACTTCAATGTAACACTCGGGCTTCAGGTTAAACTGGCAAACACTGACTAGTGGCATCTGTTACTTTTCTTGTGTGCTCGACACTCTACTACGACCACTTCACCATCACACCAATGCATACAATCAACCTTTTCTGTAACTACGCTAACACACACAAACAACAACAAACTCTCCTATAGCTACGCAATAATACACAACAACCTTCTCTTGTGGTGACAGTACAATTAACCACTGAAAAATGTCTACTCACGTCTCTCTTAGGAGACACGGTGGTACGTTGACTGGTAGGATGATGACCAGTGATGATCTTCTGGACCTTGAGTCTCTGTCCGTAGTCGGTGAAACTCTGCTGCAGCTCGGCGTACTTGCGACTCGTACCGGGCGAGGTCTGGGCTGGTCTCAGTACTGGTACCGATAGAGTCCTTCGATACTGTGGCCAAGACAGTGATAGTCACACAGAGCTTAGATATGGTTACGCATGTTGGTGTAATGATCTTTGATGATGCATGTAATATAGGAACATCACCACTTGTCTTGTAACAGTTGCTAATTACATTGGAACCGCTGTAATCTGGACATTGATGGAACAGAATAAGTGTCCATCGATACTGTGAGTTGTCCTTATTTCAGGGGTCAAGTACAAACGGAAAGAGACAGTGCTCTCATTAGAGGTGTCCTCGTATCAGCCCACACATCGTGCTACAAAGCCGAGTGCTGTCCATTCCACCAAAACACAGGTGTAGGCATAAACAAAGATGTGTAGTAGCTGCGTGTCCAGATTTGTGTGCCAACATGGGCAAAAACAGCGATTAAATGCACCAAGACAATAGAAGCCATTAACCTACACACGATCTCAAATGTCACAGTCTTGTAAGGGACAACTCTTTTCACTAACCAAATCTCCACCTTCCCAAAGGACACTTTCTTCTAAGGCTACCGTCCAAAGTGTGTGCGTCTGTGTGTGTGTGTGTATTGGTTCATACCTCGGTGGTACACTTGTGTTCCACGTCTTTCAGTAGCAAACTGAGCGTGCGATTTCTCTTCTCTGAAAATGTCGGAGTGCAGTAAGATGCCTTCTCCCCATTAATCACTGTGATAAAAACACACAAATAGGCACTAGCTGTTTGACAGTGAGTTGAATTTTGCATACAATAAGATTTCAACCACATAGGGATTAGCATTCATGATGGGTGCCGTTGGGCGGTGTGCCATGATGGCCTTCTAGGTTGATATTTAGTAATTCATACAAATAACTATAAACGTTACATGCCTGATATTCTAAGGGAAACGAATGTATGTATGTATGATACTAGTCTAGTATTACAAGTTGGTTTCCCTTATAGAAAACAAGACATGCAAGGTTATTGATAGGGACCTACATTTGGTGAGGAGGAAGTCGCGGAAGGAGCTGGGCTCAGAGAAGACTCCCCTGGCCGGCAGTGAGGGTCCAAACCTGGGAACACTCTCTGCACAGTGGACTACTAGTCTGGAGGAGAGGGGGGGGAGGGGGGGGACAAGGGAGAGAGACGGAGGGAGACATGAAGGGGAGGTAAATTCTTAATGTGTAAATGGTTCTTGTTTGACTGCAACAATCACTCTCTCTCTCTCTCTAGCAGGTAATACATGATAGTGTGCGGTCGCAAGTCGATGTTATGCGATGACACAGTAAGTACACTAGATTACTACACATATTAGATTTAGCGTATGAAAGGTCCTAAGAAGAACACTCTTAAGGGAGAAACCCTCGTGAATATAGCAGTTCAGAGTTACTTGCACATTTGCAGGTGCCGCCCATAAATCCACAAAATTACTAAGTTCGGGTTTTCAATGTTCCCTACAATATGTGCTTGCAGCATGAAGTGCGACTTGGCCCCAGGAACATGAACACCAACCTGTATTCACTCTTGATGTGGTCGTACGAGACGAGAGCAAAGATGTGGTTGAAGTGAGACTTCATACAGCTGGGGTCAAAGGTGAGACTCGACTCGTAGGCGTCCTCTGGATTCTTTCCGTCCACAAATATGATGACCACGATGTCGTTGCCCAGGTGACGCTTTCTCTCCAGCTAAAAATAGACCAACACACATGTGTAACAAACGATCAAAAAACGTCACGGTATGCGTATGCCAAGAAAATAATTATAGCTTGCATTATTTGTGTTGACAACAAGCATTTCCAGTAAAGGAGAACATCAAAAGCCACGAATTTACTACAGGGGATGAGCAAACAGCCTGCTCACGAGAAAAATGGAAAATATGTCCATTTAGGAATTGCCTAATGTATGTTCATGTATGTACATAATATCACCAATACGGTATATCATACATACATACATACATGCAGTACTTTACCTGTTGTGCGTTCTCGGAGGAGTAAGGTAGCAGAGTGGAGACGTGGAACATAACCTCGTGACCCTCAAATACGGTGAACACACTAGTGGCTCCTGTCGTGTTCCCTGTAACACAAACAGCACATACGTATATAGCTATAATACCAACACCCTCAACATCCAAATATGGTGAACATACAAGTGACACTTGTCGTGTTCCCTGCAACACAAACAAACAGCACATGTACGTATAGCTACATATACCAATACCCTCAACATTCAAACATCCACAATCTGGGGTATGGTGGAGCGACAAACAGTGAGGCCACCTGTCCTTGTTTCAAGGCCTTTCCTGATATGCACACGTCTTCTACACTACATACGACAGTTACTATTCGACTTCGAATGATAGGATTTTACAAAGCTACTAGTATATACAGTAGTCCTATCTTTGAAGAGATGGCAGTGTGTTTGTTAATGGAGTTTGCCCACTGGCAATAGAATGTACAGGAGAAGCTGTGAAGTGTGCATCGTGTTAATTGTGTGTGTGTGTGTGGGTGTGTGGGTGTGTGTGTGTGCTCACTTTTGACGTCGAGTCCACCGCGGAAGTTCTGCCATCCCTGCAGAGCCACTTCGTCCCCCAGTAGCTCCAGGAAAGACGAGAACCTCTTACTGCCATGCTCTGCACAGTATAATGTTTATGATACTCACAATAGTATTAAGTGAAACTACATATATACAGTAACGTCTCACATAATGATTGTACAGCTGGAAACTCTGGATGTTTTTCAATAATCCATTTACAAATGAAAATATTTATGAGAAAACTTTCTTGTGTTTGTTTTTTCTGCTGTGCAAATGTTGGTGCCCAGGGAATTATTTCGTGAACATCTCTCTCTCCCTCGAACGTTTCCTACCATGTATACTACTGACCCATTCCTCTTCAAACAGGTGCTAATTAACTGTGCATGTCATTAGCCATTCACACCCAAGTCTCCATTTGGATATTGATTGCTTGCACGGGAGTGCATTGATTGGATACACATAGGCTTACGGCAGAATTTAGGAAGAGGAAAAGGGGACCATCAATCAATCAGACATATGTGGGTAGCTAGCTCTCGCCCTCTGCCAGAGAATAAACCAAGTTATCCCAACACGGCAAGCAACGCCTCCTCCAAACTATTCATCTCCAACGCTTCTTCTGGCCCACTTAGAGTCTGACACTACCATCCACCCTGCCAATATAGAACTGGCTCCCATTACGTTATACACATACACACCACCTGTGAACTAACAGCACTGTTGGTCTATTAGTTTACTGGTGAAAATCCGATTTAAGAGCGCAGGTTAGCATGCATGTGGTCTATCACGCTCGACGTAACTCAGTTAGCGGAGACGTAAAAGTGAACGTACGTATGTAGGCCTGAAATTTGGCCCAAGCTCTAGCTGTGGCTTGATTCTAATTGTAGCATATGGAGTTAATACCCAATAAACATGTGCGCCACGTCCATATTGAGAGATGCAAGGCAATCAAACACAGTTGGAGCAGCATACAGTTACGGCATCATTAACGAAGAGAACGTCCCACTAATTTAGTTAACGGTTAGCTATTTGTGCATAATTAATGACCGACAGTACTGCTGGAAACATTACACATAGTAGAATCTCCTTATAAGGATGTCTCTAATTAAGGGATGCCACTCCCAAACTCCCAAATTGTTGAATTCGTTGTCTTCGGTTTAGCTCTGGAATGACGGGAGTAAACTAATCAGAAAAATCGCCCTTCCAAACTTTATGATTGGGGGCTTTACTACACATGAATACAATTTATGTGGCAGTCAGAGGCAGACTCTGTAAATGTGACGCTGGAGCCTACTTTATAAATAAACTGCATTATAGTCACTTTTTCACGCAACACACGATGGTCCTAATCCTTGCATATGTTTATACAGTGTACATACATACATGTGTAGCATCCGTACTGTAAGTAGACTATGTACTGGTTATTCATTACGTAATCTTACCGTGTCATTCGTATAAAAAGTGTATGCACGTGGAAAATAATCAGATTTGAGACTCAGCCAGAGTCACTGAGAGAGATGAGCGTTGCCACGTGCAAGGCTGGTCGTGCCACACATACATACTCTAGTGACACCTATATGAACAGTAGTCAGGTAATGACCGATACTCACCATTTCCATACAAGTCATTGTCTGTGGTCTGACCAGTCTGGGCATAGAGCACGCCAAACTTGAAGTTGACGGCTCCCTAATGATGCAGCGGACACGATGTTAAGAAAGTAAACGCCATGCATCTTTAACAAAGAAAATGCCTTTGTGAAGATCCCAACATTAACTCAATATTGATGTGAGTATGCGACTAATCGGGTTACGCCTCTTCTTTCTTGTTTTATCTTGCTATTATGCAACCTTTCATGCATATATGTACCATAATACATACAGTATATATCATTGTGTTACTGAGTGTATTGCAAACCTCTTGCTCTTCCATAGTCAGAAACTCCTTCTGGATTTTCTCAGTCGCCACTTCCTTGACCGACTTGTCGTACATGTACTTACTCACTGAAAACTTCCTGCAATAATATAATCAGCAACAAGTGACCAACAGTATACTATCTATGAACCAAATCCCACAAAAATAATCAACAAAAAAAAACACGAAAAACGAATCAAGATATATGCACATATTTTTTTTTAAAATAGCAAATTATCATGGTGTATTGAGACTTACTCCAGTAGAGACTTGACACTGGGCAACTTCCCATTGGAATCTTCTCTAATACTCAGTCGCTTGCAACCCTTAGCCACACACACAAACAGGAATACAGCAGGTATTATTACGGCACAGTAGTATGTTCGGTTTTATGCGGTAAAGCTATTATCTATCATTCACAACTACTATTGCATTTCAGGGATACTATGAATAGACCCTGCTGGTTATTTGTGCTCTGTGCATTATACGTGCACCCCTGTACGTATATACAACAAGTGGAAAAATCATTTCTTCAAAACGAAGGGGGACATAGGGATGGCTCAAAGGAAGAAACAAGGGGTCATCATCACACAGCTAAGACACACAAAGCTGTACATGGCACCTTCCCTATATCTTTGTCTGCATGATAGTATTTGCCTATCAATCATTGGCCACAATATTCTTACAGTGTTTCTCCATAGAATGCATCTGATGACGGAGCTAGAGTTGACCATGGAGAGAAAGAATGGGTTCTTGTCGGAATCGTAGCACAGGTAGTTGTGGTGGACTGTGGAGGGATGGGAGATAAAGATGGAGAGGAATAGAAAGGGAGAGAGAGAGAGAGAGAAAATAAAAAGAGAACGAGAGAGGAGGGACAAGGTGGAGAGGGAAGAGGGGAGGGGAATGAGGCAGAACAGAGAGAGAGGGAAAGAAGGTGAAATGAATGTATGATAAAATACCCAGTCTGGATTCAGAAAATTATAAGCGGCTATTTATAGCCCAAAGCCTATACATCTGGTCCAAACATAGAACATACCACCACCATAATATGCTTCTCGGGAACAAACAGAGCCTCTAAAGCTATGCAAGGTGGTTCACTTTAGCTTCAGAACCTCCTACACATGTTTCTACTAGTACACAGCTTCAGGCTACCATGTTTGGTTGCATTGCCAGGCTAAAACCATATAAACAGGTGCACCCTACACTCTATGCTAAGAGGTATACATACACTCAGCAGCGTCTATTTGGTGTAGTATGATGTATACCTTTTCCTAGAAAGTACTTGAAGTACCATCTGGTTTCACTCTCAGGGTTTTCAAGCATAGTGTGGGCTGATTGGTTGCAGCTTAGCTGCAGTGGAACATGGGAGAGAGAGAGAAAGAATTCAGCAGCAATAGCACTAGACCAAAACCCAGAGCAGTGGGTGAATAGATTTCCATTATACACTACATGCGGCAGCACTTAGAAAATGTTTTTGAAAAGGAAAACCTAACTATATTCTCTCACTGGGCCCTATTTTTCAGTTGTATCTTTAGTAACCTTATATAATGCAACATTCCCTTTAACTTTGCCTCACACACACACACATGAAATAGGTGGAAAATTCTCCCTGCATAAAGTGTATGCTAAAGAGTGAATATACCTCAAACTCCCTGGAATCAGCTCCCAGTTCAATTCTGAATGGACCCACTCCTGACGGAGACTCCATACCACTCTGCATTGGTAGCTGGAGAAGGAGAGAGAGAGAGAGAGAGAGAGAGAGAGAGAGAGAGGGTGGGGGTAAATGAGCATGCAAACATAAGCAATACATGGTATTTGACTGGCCAACCTGCGTGGGGAGAGCTGTAGTAAGCTACTTAGTGGGTTAAGAATCATGTAACAACTGCAAAGGCATAAAACTGTACAATGCACCACTTGTGTGCACCGGTTAAAGCGATGTTTCCTGGTAACACCCAAATTTGAAAGCGGTTTTGCCAATTCCAACTGCTATTGTAGACAAAGTGGCCAAACAAGCTATATACACATAATATTATACTGCAGTGTGGGTGGAGCTAGGCCGTCAGTTGTGCACCACCCCACACAGTATACATTAGTCACCAAGACACCACCACATAAGGTATATCTGTGCACGCCTAGGGCCCATGTCGAGCAATGAACACTGAGTGGGCAACAAAAACACACACAGTGAAATACACGTTATATGTGTGTCTCTAGTTGTATAGTCATTAGTGCAAAGTATAGCTAACACTGATCATAGCCAAGAAGGCAAGCATTCTCTTCAGATGTGTGTCAATTTTTGCTTCCTTGGCTCAGGAATCATTTCCCTACTCTAAGCAACATGTGCACACAATGTGCGTGTGCGTGTGTGTGGTGATCGGAGATGCTAAAAACGGAGGAAATAGGCTGGCAGCAACACAAGTTGCCACGAGACCAGCTCTGTTGCCTGGGACACCCAATTAGGAGGTAGTCAGAGGCGGCACTTGACTGCCAACTCCTATATACCCAGATAATGTAGTACTGTATCTCTCCCTGAAGTGTGTCATAAATCATCTCTCGGCATTCACACACACGCGCACCACACACACACACACACACACACACCAACACACAACACACACACAGAGGTCTAGAGGTTAAAATGAAGGTCTGCTCTGTATGCCCCCAAGCCCCTAACATAGACATCAAGCGCGTACTGGAACAAGGAAAGAGCGTGCCACCATTTGATTCTTTAGACACCACACAGTGCTATGGTGAGGCCACTAAAACCACATAACTCCAGACAAGGGTATTTCTAGACAGGAAGTGTGACTTCATCAGAAATGGTGAAATTGACACACTGCACCACCAGGAGCATGGCACTGTGACAATATTTTCTACCAATTGTCCTCCATATCTTCTCCCCTCTTCTCCCCTTTCCCGTCCCTCCCTCTTTGACCCCCACACAAGTACTCCACACAACACTTGATACAGCTAGCCCATAATGAAGTATATTGTAGTGCACATACAGTACTTAAGAAGTTCTCCATTCACGTAGTAATAAGAGGTTCTCCCTTCACGTAGTAATACTACGCAACCGACCAAGTCATAGACACGTAGTTTGTGACGGCCCTTTTTTTCCCCCGCTATTACGTATGTATGGGCCCTTCAAGTCAACAACCATGTGCTAGCTGAAATGGTAATAGGAGTTTCGTGGAAAGCATCCAGCTAGACAAAGAGACTTCACTTGAGGGGTAACAGTTAGTGTAGATGCATTCAGCTATTTGTGACATGGTGCGCACGTACTATTGTAGCCTTGCACTACTGAATTCATGGATACAAGCAATAAAGACTGACTTGTGAGCTACTTAACTATGCTGTCCCTACACCACAGCCCCATGTGGTGCCACAATCTATTTTAGTATATATGCGGGCCACACTGAAGCTGTCGTCCTCTCCCCACCACAATGGCTCTATACACACCAGGTGAATGGAGACACTATTGCGTGTCCCACACCAGGTGTCCCACACTACTCTGCATGTACCTATCAATGCAAGGCAGTGTACCCTCTGTACAATTACCTTCACTGTATATATACACACTCACACACTCACACACTCACACACTCCTCACACACTACACACTCACACACTCACACCACTGTATAATTATTTATATGGAAGTCTATGTGCATAGAGGATATCCCTAGGCAACCGACATGTATGAAGCTAGGTACTGGGGGATTTTATCAGCCTATACAATCCTACACGTGCAAGCAGGGTTCATACATGTCATTTGCCTAGGGATATCCAACAAATCTGTTGCAGTGCCCAGACAGGACAGCATTGGCCCTTACAGGGCTCATACTGTCCTGTCTGGTACTGCAACATACATAATTATGAAAGTCTAAGTGCATAGAGCATTTACATTACATTCCCTGGCTCTCTCTCTCTCTCTCTCTCTCGACCTATTGTCTCGGTGATGCATGCTCTTTACATGTGTATTATGCATGCTTAGACCACATATCTTAAGATTCTTATTAGTCCTCTATTATGGCAGGTCGACGAGCAAAAATGCTGGAATGCGTATCGTTGTGCCACATTACGTGTCATACCAATGCCTTATTGCGAGCAGTTGAATGGAATTGGATGACAGACAGCCAATGGTGTACGACAACACCAGCTAACAAGTCTGTTTACAGCAAATCACACACAGAGAGGGCAGTATGGAGAAATGAGCATAGAGAGAGGGAGGGGGCGGAGCGAGCATGCAAAGTCAGATACAGGGTTCTTGCCTTATACTATAGGCATATAGTAGCCTCATAAAATTAACAGCCAGTCTTGCCTAACCTTTAGGGAAAGTCGACTATTGGCGATTTTTTAATCAACTTTCATACATATTGATGAGGGTTCCCAGATACATGTGGGTAGAGTTATGATAGGCCATGCACCACATACCTGGTGCTGTACAAACGGAGATATAGAGCGACAGTGTTTACTCACTATAGTACCTACAGGAGTACAGGAGTATGTTCGTTGGTTTGCGAGAGGGAGAAAAGAACGCATGACGAGGGTCTCTCCATATTCACACATTGTGATTGCATTCTTGGCTCTCACACAATAGGGTTGTTAGCCCACGGCCAGCTGCTAACAACTCGGTATAAAACTTTTCCGTTTACTCCCAAACAACAGGAACTAACTCGTGTCAATAAATTTGGAAAGTGAATGTGGGGAGATGGACACGGTAAACAGACCTTTTCCATGGATTTTCCAAGCAGTGAGTGGTAGTTGGGGGCGGTGAGGTTGGTACTTGCGCTTTGGTCGATGACTGTGAGTGCATCACTAAGGGAGTTAGCAGGGGAGAGAGAGGGGGAGTGAGAGGGGGATTGAGAGGGGGAACGAGAGGGAGAGGGGGATGGAGAACAAGAAACAGATATGGACGGAGGGAGGAAAATGTCCACGTTCCCCGATACGTTATTCCGGTCCCTCCCACTGTTGGCCACGCCCACTCGTTTAGCAGCGGGACCTATCCTCGGGAGAGTCCCGAAGGGATTTGCGCGAAGCGGATACGTGGAGTGTTCGCCCAGTGGGGGCAGAGTACGAGAAGAGGTAGGAGGAGGAGGTCCGAAGCACTTTTCGAGGACCACAATAGGCGTTCCTTCTCGAGGCCGGCGTTTGTTGCGTCTCCCGATGGTTCCAAAGGGGTTATTAAAGTTGATGTTCTGCGGGAGTGGGAGGATCGTGGCCAGTCTGTTGGGTGACGTCTGCGGAGTGAGGCTGGAGGGTTGGACGGGGGCTGAAATGACTGGCGGACCGTCGGGCTTCTTCTTCCGGCTTTGCCATCGACGGAGTCTCACAAGAGTGCTGACTCTCCGAGATGCAACCTCGTGCTGGGAGGCGGCACTTCCAACTTTTTCTCTCATAGTTACACTGCTCTCTTCGTCCACCGTCTGGAAGCTCTCGCTGCCTTGGGCCTCAGGTAGACCCAGGAGTTGAGCAATATCAGAGCAACTGTAGCTGCGTCGAATCTTCTCATCCTTCTGGCCTCTCTTTGACCTCAACTCAACACCTTCCATTTTCTCCAATAATGCCACCGCTTTTAGTTGAAATTTACACTCGGAATGCCAGCAGTGGAATGCCAGGTACAAGATTTACACGCACGATTGAGTCCCGGGCACGACAGAAAATCCCTCGACACACGAACACGCTAAAAAAGCGACCGGTACACCACTCGCAAAACTGCGTTGAGACGGTGGAGAGCCGTGGGGCTTTATACGCGGTCTTTGTGAGAGTCTGCCAGTTTCAATAAGGCCTTGACATAACTTGGAGCTCCCCCGCTGTTTACACAAGCACAGCCACACTACTAGAAAACTACTACGACGCGAACTTGTAAAAACTGGGAGCCAGGAGGCACAGAAGAAATTTTTATTGAGCTGCCCACACAGAGAAGTGACAAAACCACATGAACCGTAACTGGGGGCTAACGTGGATACTGTGGCACGCAGAAGGGGTCCAGTGAAAACATAGTAGCGCAGCTCTGACCTATAGCGTGCAAAAATGCGATCATGGCCTGTAACAACAACGTTCTACGGGTCAGGTTTCTAGCTCTAGCTCTAGCTCTACCTCTATCGTGATAGATAGACATACAAGCACCATAGATCAAATGGCAATTGGCCTACCGTGGCAATTTCAGCACCTCACCATTAGTTGACTCCGGCTGAGCAGCTTGCGAGCGCACAATCAGTCACACGAGCACCAAGGACGGGATAAGACTGTCAAACTAAACTGTCCTGTGCCGGCGACAGGGGCGGGACAACATTACTCTAGCCATAGATTGCTTTGATGTTTAGCTTGGCGCATGCGGAAGTTTCCTCAAACCGCATAATAGAGAGCTTGCTAAAGCTTCCGTGTACGCATGTAGCTATGCTAAATACACACTAACATGGCTGTGGAAACCCTCGGAAGGGGACGCGGAGAGGCGGAGCGCTTGGGGCATGGGCCACCCGTGTGAGGGGCTTGACTGCGCTTTTGCCCTGCGCCCCGGGCCTTGAAAGCGCCGTGTGCTGGCGCTTGCTGCCTTGGGGCGTGGCTGGGGGCGGTGCATGTGAATGCTTACGCTGCGGGCTTGCTGCGCGGTTGGCTGGCGCGCCTGCTGGCTGCTGGACGCTGGCGCCTGACCCCTTGCGCCTGCCTGCTGGTGAGTTGAGGCGCCTGCTGACTGGGCTTGGCGGCCTGCGTCGTGCTTGTGCGGATGGCCTGCTGGCGCCGGGCTGCTGGGCTGCCGGGCATGCCTGAGCCGCTGGCGCCCGGCTGGCCCGTGGCTTGGGACCCGTGGCTGCGAGCTGCGGACATTCTGCGAGTGCCGTTGGCGCGCTTGCGTGCGGAGAAACGGCTGCTCCTCTGTGGCCGGGCGGGTGCGAGCCTTGAAGCGCTGCGACGGCCATGCCATGAGCGGCGGGCGGGGCGCGTGATCTGGCCTGAGGCTTGTGCGGCGGCGCTTTGCGGCTGGCTGGTGCCTTGGCGTGCTGCCCTGTGCTGCCGCATGCTGCATGCCTTCATTTGGGCCCCCTGACCTGTGGGGCTGGCTGCTGGCTTGGACTGAGCCCTGGCCGCGGCGCGCCTTTGAGATGTGCGCTTGTTTGCTGCTGTGCCGGCAATGACCGCCGCGACTTGCTTTTGTGGGTGCTGGGCTTGGGGTGCTTGCTGCTGCTTTTGGCGCCTTGGCCGGCGCGCTTGCCGCTGCTGCTGGCTTGAAGCTGAGCCTTTGTGGGTTGCTGCGGCGTTGCGTGCCTGGGGCTTGCCTTGCGGCCTTGCTCCTGGGCTTTTGATGTGGAGGTGAGGACAGCATGGGAGTCAGACGGTGGGGGGTGGTGGAGTTCAGACCAGATGTGTAGTCGGGCTCCAGGATTTCCGATCCTCTGCCAGCCATTTCCGCCTCGGAATATTGGGACTTTTGAGCATGTTCTTGTACGTGTGTACACCTATTCAGCGAGTGTTGTCCTGGAACAATGTGGTGACAAACTGCTCGCATTCGGCGCATCAAACAGACCACTGTTTGCGAGCCTCGAAGTTTATATATAGCACTGTCAATAATTTGGCAACGAATTTGCAAAGGCTGACACCCACACGCACTTGCTAGTCCTGTTGTAAATATAACATGACAGGAGTGCCAACATGGGCATGCAAACTGTTAGCCTTTTAGGGGGGGCGGATAGCTAGCTAGCCCCGCCCTCATTTTGCTGCAGCCAACCGCGCCCTAATGCGCATGCGCATTTTGACCCAGCCGGCACACACGTGTTTGAACTAGTGGACAAGTATGTCGGTGTCTCCTCCAGAGAAGAAGGCTCGCGTGGAGGCAAGCGATCTCCCAGAGGGCGTCCTCTTCGGGATGGGAACACGGTAGAAAATTCTCGG